AAAGAGTTAAGTATATCAGCCGAAGAGTACTGTAGAGTTCTGGGAATCAACCGGAGATCGCCGAAGATTTTTCAACGTTAAGGGAAGTTTCGGGAATACAGTATTTTCGGAAAGTTTTGGGCAAGTATTTGGAGGGTCAAGGGCACTGCAGCCTACCTAAGTACGGTCTTTTTAAACGGCCTATTCAAATTAAATTACGTGATTATTCTCGTGCAATTTGGATTAAATCACCACTGGAATATTTTCAGAGACTGCAAATTGTATTCGCGGACTTGTGTTATTGTGTTAGCCTTTGAAAATTTTCTTGTGTTTATTTATATCACAGGTAGTATTTATCTACAAATTACATAACTAAAAGAATACAAAAGAAGTGATTTTGTTGGAAAAAAACAGATTTTACTACTCCAGCTTGATCGTGTCAAATCTTTGTTGCAATTTATTATTATGGTAACCAACAGCGCAAGTTACGAATTTCATCACGTGGTCACTTAGCCAATTGTGTACTGATCTTAATAATTGCGTTGCAGAGACACGTGTTTCCATTTTAGCTTGCGCCTTTGTAATGTATTTCCTTCACGACATTGGAAACTATAGGAATACATTAGAGCTTACCTCAATTGGATACGTGTTCCCGTCAATTGTATGTTCAGATCCAACAGTGTCATTACAGCCAAAGTGAAAATGAAACTGCTTCAGAAAGTAGTTCTCTTGCAGTAGACCGCCGGCCAGCTTGACTGTCAGCTCCTCTCCAAGGAAAAAAGTTGGCGCGTATCCGTTGTTTCTAAACTCACCTGTGATTGGTTTATTTCCCGCCACAGTGAGCCTCAGGTTAGGTGGGTTGGTAGGATCCTTTTGTATAACCTGATCAGTTATAATGTTAATTGGTGATTGTTTGCGGCCGTTGCAGGACCAATTACCATTTAAGGTTTCCCACTCGTCCGGGCCTTGAGAAAAGAAAAAATGCATTTAAAATACAGCACAGATTTTATATATGTTTATATGAATGGTCGATCACAAACTTACGTTTCACCTTGAGCAGCATAACACCTGCCAACCTAAAAAAATTGACAACCAGGAGATCGCCAATTTTACTTTCTCGACCACAAAAAACCTTGTTGAGAGTATAGCTTCGCCAGTTTAACCACACAAATGCACGAAATATTCCAAAAAGTTTCCCCGAAAATACCAAAATTCAGCCAAAGAGTGTGAAAAGTGTACCTTAAGCACTTATCTTCGGATGTTGGAGGTTTGGTGGCCCCTTTAGGGAACTTGGAGATTCGGTCTGTATACAATGGCGTCCGTTTGAATGGCCACTCACGATTGAGTTCGCTGTTTACAAACTTATTATTTAGATTAATAAGCGCTGCTTTATTTCTATAGCCTGCGAACAGGCTCCAAGTGAGGGCGGAAAATCCTTTTTTTCGCGCTAGTCGACTTGCTTCGCGCGACGACTTTTTTTTCGCCCTCGCCGGGAGTCCGTTCGCAGGCTATATTTCTAAATTTAAGCTTACCGTCCACGCTAATACGTCGCGAAAACCAAACTTTTCGAAAACGCTTTTCAAACCTGAGGAATTTAAAAACGCCGACTTTTTGTTTTAGCGTTAACAGAAAACATGTTGAAAACGGAACTCTTCGAAAACGATGACGTCACGATAATCATGTGATTTCCCCGCCCTAGTTTTCCTCAAACACAAATCCAAAATGACCGGTGATTGTTGCGTTTCCAAATTTCTCCGGCGTATTGTGGATGGAAAACATTTGATGCGTTTTCAGAGTGAAAAAGCCGTTTTCAAATTTCTCCGGCGTGTTGTGGACGGAAAACATTTGATGCGTTTTCAGAGTGAAAACGCTGTTTTCAAATTTCTCCGACGTTAGGAAATAGACGGTCGGGTTTAAAAACCAATCGTAGACCGCAGTTTGTTCTGTAAATATAGACAGGCCGATACTGCGCGCCAATAGCAGAAAAGAGGGAAATATCTGACAAATTTCGGTTTCCAGCGAAACTAATCTATAAAACAAGCTTCTACAGCAGAGAGGAAGTTAGTTAAGCAGCATTACTTTCAGCAGAGTTCACAGGTGAGTTTGTTCATGATAATATGTAAGTTATCCACTTGTATTATTATTTTTACCATTTCCATGAAAATTCAAGGCATCGTTTAACAAAAAGATAAACCATGAAGTGCATCATTCCCTTAAACAGCACAGAAATTTGCAAAGAATATTTGTGGCGCGCGGTTTTGGCGTCGTGGCTGCTGCAAATACTGTCATTTCTTCGCGAAAAAAAAACAAATAAACGTGGAAAAATAACGGAAATGGAAGTGGAGACCGTGGCAGCGTATTTCAAGGAAAGGAGAGTGTATATCACAGCTAAAACGATTGAAGCGTTTATTACCACTTGGTGAGAATAATTCTCTTAAGCTCGAAGCAGTTTCGAACCATTTCGTTCTCAAATTGTGACCATTTATAAACTAAAGAACGAACTCATCAACCCAGGTTTCGATTCGAATGACTGAAACAGAACTTACGAAAAAATCTTCAATCACGCAGCTCCACTTTAATTTTCGTCAATCACATTTTATAAAAACATATATATGTTATTATTTGCTTGCTGGAAAAGGGGAGTCCATATAGAGAAAAACTTTGCCGAAGTCTTAAGTCTTCAAATTGTCACCAGTCACTCTGACTGTCTACGCTCTTCTTTAAACACGTTGAACTTTGCCATTTTCGTTTTTACAATCTCAGTAAACAAATTTTGGTTCGCATGGTCTTTGTGGGGACGGAGAGAGACGTTGCCCTGAGAACGAGGTTGTTTTGAAGATCGCTATCAAAAGAATTCGTCGGTTACATGATTCCACAGACGCGCCAATAATAGTAATAATAGTATTAATAATAATAATAATAACAAAATATTATACAGCGCGACTTTCCATAAAATTATCAAGTACCTTTTAGATAAAAATTAAATATAATCCCTAAAGTCGTAAATTTACAATGGTTGCTAAAACTACAAAACATGTTAAAATCGGATTCTTAAAAAAAAAAAAAAAGAGATTAAAATTCACTAACAGGAAGCAATGAAAATACCAACTTGTATACGTATAGGTCATCATACGGTTTTTCTCGTTCAATTTGGAATTATTTTGCACTTGTGAGTTTTTCAAAAAGCTGAAATTGCATGAGCCGCTTTACTTATTAATAATATAAACAAGAAAAATTTCGCGTGGAGGAAGTGCCAGAAGACCTTTCTTGAAGCCATTTTTTCTCACTCGAGAAAACCTTTTTTAAAGTTTCCCCACAAAATTCTCATCATTTTACGTGATATCATTGGCTTAGAAAATTTCCTATTGTATTTCAGTCAATCATAATCGAGAATTACGATGTGTAATTTGCACTGGTGTTACACGTTTTGCACTGGTGTTACACTTGAAAGCACTGCTCTCAGCCAATCAGAATCGAGTAATTTTTTCAGGCATATTATTACAAGGGTAACATGGGGCCATGACATACACACAGGGTACACAGCTTTAAGACCACTGAGGATAATTGGATGAAAGGTATAGAGGAACAAAGTTAGACACGATAATTATATTACATGGAAATCACCTGAAGTGACACGCAATCTGTTGGCAACGTTTTCTTTTTCTTTTCTTCATTTAAAGATATTTTAATACATGTTTGCCCCAAGAGCTCAAAGGGCTCATTTAGAGGGCTTAAAACTACATTACATGTAAAGAGTACAGTAATAACACACAAGGAACTCAGTCACGGTATTTTGAGTTATTTTGGCCACATACAAAATTACCTTTAAATGGTAGGAAACCTGAAAATAACAGTTTAATAAGATAGAAAA